AAACTGCATGTCCCTAGACACTATGGCCAATCCACCTAACCTGCATAACTTTGGATTGTGGGAGGAAACTGGAGCACCCAGTGGAAACCCATGCAAACACAGGAGAACGTGCAAACTCCACAAAAAGTCACCCAAGGCTGGATTTGAACCTGGGTCACTAGTGATGAGATAGCGGTGTTAACGCTATGCAAGGCATACACATCTGCTTCTGCACCACGTCTTTAGAGTTAGACCCCTTATTTTAAGTTGTCTTTCACGGTCCTTTCTACCAAAACGCATTACTTTTCTGCATTGAAACTCATCTGCCACCTATAAGAACACAAGATCTAGGAGCAGCCTGTCGAGCCTGCTCTGCCATTCAATACAATCACCACTGATCCTATCTCGGCCTCAATTCTGCTTTCCTGCTGACTCCCCATAACCCTTCAACTCGTTATGATTGAGTAAATGTGAAGTGGTGATAGATTTTTTACATGTCCTGGCATCCACCAAACTCTGGGGTAGTGAATTCCTCTGATTCATGATCCTTTGAGAGAAGTAATTTCTCATGTCTGATTTAAATCCGCTACCCCTCATCCTAAAACAATGATCGCTTGTCCTAAGTTGCCCCACAAAGGGGAATATACTTCCTTCACCTACTTTGTCAATTCCCTTTAGCATCTTATATAGACCTCCTCTTTCTGCTGAACTTTTAAGCAATTTAGACCCATACTGCCTAATTTTTTTTCATAAGACAAACCCCTCAATTGTAGAATCAATATAGTGAATCTTCTTTGAACTGTTTCCAATACAACAACATCCCTCCATAAGTAAGGGGACCAAAACTGCATGCAATATTCCAGGTGCAGTTTCAATAATGCCTTGTACAGGTGCAGTTTCAATAATGCCTTGTACAGTTGCAGCAACACTTCCCTACTTTTATACTGTATTACTTTAGCAATAAATGCCAAAATTCCATTTGCCTTCCCTATAATCTGATGTACCTGCATACTAACTTTCTGTGATTCATGCAAGGGGACAGCCAGATCCCTCTGCATCAAAGCGCTCTGCAAATTCTCTCTATATAGATAATAAGTTACCTTTCTATTCTTCCCACAAAATGGATAACCCTCTCACTTATTCACATTAAATATCATCTGCTAAATTTTGGCTCATTCACCTAACTGATCTACATCCACTTGTAAACTTTTATTTATTGCAACTCACTTTCCCAACCTATTTTAGAATCATCTGCAAATTTGGCTATTGCATCTTCTATTCCTGCAACCAACTCATTAATGTAGATATTTGGAGCTGTAGACTGAACCCTGTGGCACCCTTTGACTGCTTGCCAAGCAGAAAAAGACCCATTTACCCTGACACACTGCTTTCTGTTGGCTAGTCAATCCCCTATCCAAGATAATAAATTACCTCCAACTGCATGTCATCCTATGAGACCTATCTACCCACTATATCAACTTGACCAAACCCTTTGGAATTTTACACTGTCCTCGTCACAGTTTACAATTTATCCCGAAGTCTCATGTTATCTGCAAGTTTTTTTTTCACTCAGCCAATTTTGTACCACATTGCTACTGACCCTTGTACTCCATGACCTATAACTGTCCCCTGTTGTGTGGCATTACATCAAACATTTTCTAGAAATCCATGCACACAACATCAACAATATTACCCTCATCAAACCTATTACCTCTTCAAAAAATCACCAGCAAGCTGGTTAAACAATTTCTCTCAAACAAACCACTTATTTTCCCCCCATGCATGTACTAATTCTATGCTGAATTATTGTTTCTAGAAGCATTTTCACCACTGATGTTACATTGATTGGTCTGTAATTGCTTGGGTATCCTCACACCTTTCTTGTACAAGGCCATAATCTTTACAATTCTCCAGTCTTCTGGCATCACCCTAGAGAAGATAGATAGATTGTGGCCAATGCCCTTGCAATTTAAACTCTCATTTCCTTCAAAATCCTTGGATGCATTCCATTAGTCCTAGGTTCTTGTCAATTTCAAGTACTAATAATTTATCCAACATTTCTTTGTCATCAATTACCTTCTAGTGACAATTTCCTCCCATGTTACAATGGTCCGGGTAGCATCTTTCTCTTTTGTAAAGACAGATGCAAAGTACTGATTTAACACTTCAGTGCAAATTCCCTTTTTGGTCCCTCATCTCCTCCTTTTTCCACTCTCTTCCTATTTATAGACTATTAAAGGTTTTGACACAGTCCTTTACATTCATCCCCAATTCACCCGAGTGGAGACATGACATGGTGCTGCTTGAACAATTTAAACATTGGATTTTTCACTGCGCTTAAACAAACAATTTAGGAGTTAGATATACTGAAACAGAGACCCAGATTAGACCTGTTTGCTATTTTACTTCCCAGTCACAGTGTGCAGTTATTCTCACAGCTCTAAAATAGTGTTATTGCCTACCTGTGTTCACTCTCTGACGTCTGAAACTGGCTGTACAAAGTGCTTGTGCTCTTTCGTCCCATGACACCACTGGAGGGAGTGGAGGTTGTGCTACTATCTGTGTCCAGACTCAGATTCAGAGCGGATCCAACTACTGCCTCATGCAGATAGACACACTGTGATCTCCGATGGTGCGACAGGCTTGAGGACATCAGCAAAGAACTTGAAGACAAATGCTGTACAAATGAGAAATATAGAAATCAGAAATAATGCAACCATACAGCCCTTTGCCTCGCACAGTATAGGGATCATCTCAAGAATGTGCTGTGAATTTGAATTTTCAAATAATCGATTCTCTGGAACCTGTGCAGTGATCTACAAGGTTCACAGCAGACATTCACCTCAACTACATAGACCCCACTTCCCAAACCCATGATCACTTCCATCTAGAAGGACAAGGGCACACAAGATACATGGGAACACCATCACTTGCAAGTTCCTTTCCAAGCTACTCACTGTCTTGACGTGGAAGTATATCATTTGTGCTGCCTGAAAGTTCCAGAACAACCTCCTAAACAGCAGTGTAAGCGCACCTACACATAATGTGGTAGTTTAAAGCAGCAGCTCACCGCCAGCTGTTCAGTGGAAATGAGGGATGGACAGCAAGTGCTGGCCCACACAAAGACCAGAACCCAAATGAACTTAAAAGACAGATTTAACCCTTTAACTCAGACTAGCTACAGACTTTCACCAGTTCAAGGTGTAAAGCATGGCTCAGTGGTAGCAATTTCATATCTAAATCAGAGATTTGAGAAAATAACCCTCACTGTCATTCCACTTTCAGAATGTTAAACTCAGATCCCATGGCATCAAGTTGAAGGTTACTCAGCTCATTGGTGTTTGTGGGAACTTACTGACCACAAATTCAGAACTACATTACAACATTAACTACATTTCAATTGTAATTCACTGGTTTTAGCTCTGGGATGTCCTGAGGTCAATAAATATTTTGGACTAGTTTGTATTGCACTCTTTTCAATGCTGCTGACATGTGGGCAGTTACGCTCAACTCTACCATAGTCCCTCAGTTCGTCCGTAATTAGCTGTTTAAATTTAAGATCCTACTTTCAGGCTCTCAAATCCAACATGAAATTATATCATAATACGATCAGTCTTCCCTCGGGGATTCTTTACTGTAAGATTACTAATTAACCCTGGCTCATGGCATAATAATAGATCTCAAGTAGCCTGGTCTTAATGAGTTCCATGATATACTGTTCTAGACGTGCATCTGCCCCTGATACACTCCAGTTAACCACAGTCTGTGCAAGGTGTGCTAGTATCTCCAATCAGGGGTTGAAATATTTTATCTCCACTCCTGCCTCAGGGGATCTTTTTGAGATTTTCTCAAGAGCTACTTTGTGTTCACAAACTAATTAAGGATGTAGTCATATATAATTATATTTTCTGTATTGACATATGGAGTTTTTGGATTCTCACAGAAACAGGATCAGAAGAATATACCAATATCCTCATTAATAAAAGAACTCTATCATTAAACAAAATTACGACACACAGGAAAGCATTAGTTACCTCGATATTGCAGTACTTGAATTGGTATAAGACAACAAGCATAAATTAGAGATAACACGGTGTAGAGCTGGATGA